CATGGCTCTACCACATATAAAAATGTTTTAATGAACTAGTACATAATGCACAAAAAGTGCAAAATCTGACTTTAATTTTGAAATATTTTTGGAGCATAAGAAGTGGGTTCTTTAAAAATATATATCCATAATATTTTTTTTATTTCAGGAAGAGATGTTTATTTTAAATGTTATTATTTCGTAGATTATTTGTGTTAAAGGAAATATATTACCTTTTTGAGAAATAATGTTGCTAAAATTATATTGGTTATTGGAAATGTAATATAACCGCCGCGCACCCCGCAGCGCCTCTGTCGCTTTGTCGCTCGACACTATTGTGGCGCATTTAGTATTGTTTACAAAAAACGTTATTTTAGACTCTACATCCGCGGGAGTGACCCTTGAGTGGTTTTATCTAAGATAAGAAAAAAAAAAAATAAAAGACTATAATTTTGATATCGGCACTAAGAATACTTATTTCATAACTTTATGAGATTTGTAAAACTTGGCAAGATCTATTTAAAGATGACTGAATCATGTAAGGAAAAAGAGACGTTCAACTAGTCCTGGAAATAAAACCACACGTTTCTTCATGAATTCAAGTATATATTTTTAATTAAATAAAAAAAACTAGTGTTAATTTTATTGACTAATGCATTGAACCTTTGACTGCCGTGTCAGTCACTTTGTACGGAGTATTGCATTTAAAACGTGACCGACGGCAGTTTAAGTGTTAATGCCGCATCTGGTCCGAAACTACATTCTACATCCGTGTAAGTTGATTGTTGGTTCTTGTAAACTTACTATTAATGCATTTTATGTTAAAAAATTGTATTGTAGCCTATGATTTTGCGCATAAAATATTGTAAACAATAGATTTAAAATTAAATGAAAATAAAATCGAAGTATTAAAAAACTTTGTTTCATCGAGAAATATGACAATTTTGTCTTTATTCAATATTTACTTACACTTATTACTTTGGGACTTTATTTATTTATGTACTCGTTTATGTGGAAATTTCATAAAGAATTCAATATTATAGTATTTGATATACCAAAATCAAGAAATTTGCGTTTAAACGGATTGCGCCCAATGCGCCTTCAATTTTATTAACCCTAGAAGTCAATCTATCTCAGAGATACATAAAGCCTTAACATACGCCTCAGAGGCGTGCATATATAAATAGTCTCTAAAGTATAATTATTTGCGATTTTTTAAGGACCCGTAAGATAAGCATTTATTCTAGTAACAAAACACAGATTCATTGATGAACATTCTAATCACAGCTATTTACATTACAACAAAATAAAACAATCTGCTTATATTCGTACAAAAAAAGTAACTTCTGATTAATCAACTGTAACTTTATTTTTTTTAACTATCTTATATGTTTTTTACTATTTAATGACTTTTTCTTAGCACAATTATTAAATTAAATCAGACTTTCACAGACTAGCTTAAATCTTAGAGCAGCCTACACACACATAAACTTTGTGCTCGCAATATACTGATTTCTGTACGTATAACACACTAATTTAGGCATTCTCTTTTTTTGTAAGAGCAAAAAGTGCAGCATTTACGGTTTTTGGGCTCAGGTTCTCCCTTCTGAACTTCATTACTTGATCAGTAGATTTTACGAGAATATGGCTTGTTTTCTCGTAAAGATCTTTTCAAATCCGGCGCTTCAAGTATCATCTCCATCCAAGGCTTGGCTAAATCTGCGTTGAGCTGCTTCATGAACTGACTTCTATTTAGGTTTTTTTTATTGTTCTTTATCAAATTCACATATATATGTATAATAACTACCTGACACAGGACGGGGGAGGAGAATGTCAACATATTTATACACAAATTTAAAAAATTTGATTACTATATGCTACTGACATTGATGAATATTTTAATGATAATATAATATAATTACGTAATATATTTATCTGTTTGTTATATTATTATTTTTCATACAATTGAATACCGGGTGGTGTGAAAAGTTTCCGAACTCAACGTGAAGATGGCAGCACTCGTCAATAAAAGCTAGTGAATGTATGAATGTGCATCTTTTGACAATTACGCACCAAAATTTCAGCCATTTTGGACGCGTAGTAGTAGAGTCGATGTGAGTGTTTATGTGAAAATGAAAAAAATTTAAATTCTAGCTGTCATTAAATTTCTGTGTTTGACAAGCAATACACCTACGCAAAACAAAGATGACTTGGACTCTGTGTATGAGGTTTTGGGTGGTGTTGAGTGCCCGAATTATCAACTGTTAACATCCGCCTTACCAGATCTAGCCCCAAGCGACTATTTTTGGTTCCCTCATCTAAAAATTGAGCTCGAATTACAGAGATTTATTTCAAATGAGTATGCAATCAACTTCGTGAACAATTATTTTGCAGAGAAAAACGCCGAGTACTATTTAGACGGGTTAGAGAGATGGAAGCATCGCTGGGAGAAGTGTGTAGAGTTTCAATGAGACTATGTAGTATAATAAAAATAAATATTAAGAAAAAATTTCTTGTATCTTTCGGTCGGAAACTTCACACCACCCACGTAAATCTAAGTAGTCTAAATAAACATGTAAATTATACATGAAACAATTACGTAACAAGCGCTTCATCTCTTCTACTCAACTAGTTCGTTCCCCAACAGGATCCACAATGAACCTCCCATGATAATTTTATTTCCATCTTTTATATAACCTGTTCTCTTAGTTACGGTCGCCTTTGTGTCGGTCGGTCGGTCGTTTGGTCGTGTTTGTGTGTGCACGTGCCGCTTCTTGTCAAAAGCACGGTAATATTATCTATACAGTATTGTAACTCGGCCGTATCTTTCAAATAAATGCCTACAACCGCGCGGTACGTAAACATGTGATAGGGCTGCCTGCCTCCAGCATTTTTACATTTGCCTACTTTGTGTTTCCATTTAGTTTTATGATTGTAAATTTTTATATAAACAAATAAAATAGGTACTTTGTGAATTGAATAGGAAGTGTTCAATAAAAATGCGTGTCGTTTTTTGATTGGTAGATTTAATTAAAAAACCATGTTTATGTTTGAATAACACATCAGTTAAATAAATTTGCGACCGAAAAATATTTGCGCCTCGGCTGAGAGTCTCAACCTGAGACTTACGAAATGCTTTATTATTAGATTTTTAAATATAAAAAATCCGCTTCCTAATATAAAGCTAAAAATAATATAAATTAAAAATTGTTTTGGGAAACATGGACAACGTGGAGAAAAGGAATATCTTTTAATTGGTTATAGATACCTGCAGCTACTTTACAATTTAATGTTTGTTTTTAAATGAAGTTCAGATTTATTATTTCTTTATTTCAATTCTATTATTTATTTCCTCCATTTTTTATATATTTCGCAAAATCATCACTGCGGCACAGTCTCGACTGTCTGCATGCCGAGCGCATGCCGAGATCGAGGCGCGTAGGCATAGCTCTCGCTTCGTCCGTTTGTATGAAGTTGGAATACTGTATAGATAATATTACCGTGTCAAAAGCGTCGCTTCGATATCGACGGTCGCCACATGCGGCGTACACCCGCAGGAGAATTAGGCATTTTAAATTGAAACGCCGTAGTCAAAGGTTCTTTGTTACTTAATTTATGTTTATTATTTATATTCGTATTTTATTGCAATAATCATAAGAATGAAATAGTAATGTTATTTTTAGAATATAAAAACATTTATTTAACAAACACAGTAAAAAAATAATAAAATGAAAGCAAAATAATAAGTGCGTCTCCGGGGGTGTACCAACACAATCTTCGTGAACAAACTATACATTGTGGCTAAGAAATAAATAAATTAAATTGAATTAAATTACTTGCGTCGAGTGCTTAGCTCTTGAGCTGCCACGGCTCTGCAGTTAAAGACAACGAGGCCCCGTGTAGTTTTTATTTATATAATTATAATTAAATTAAATAAATATAATTTATAATAATAATAATGTCCTCCAGACCGATTATCGGTCATGGCGGTCAGTCTCAATTAAGCTTGGGACCATGTGCACAGGACAGGATTACAGTACCCATGCCCATTCATCACTCTCATAGTCTGATGGGACGGCAATCCGACACGACCGAAAGAAGATCAAGGGCAGGACCTTTACGTGGTAGAGCCACACTGCAGCTATTATGGTTGTAGCATGAACGGATCGGCTCGACCGGGGAAGGACCATCTCACAGAACACCAGCGTAAAATAGCAGCTTAATGCTGCTGTGTTTCGTATGTTGAGTGTAGAGAACCGGAGACTCGTTTTACGGGAATGGAGGCATTCCATCTTAAGTCTTCAAGGGTTACAACGCATCTGCATTTTGATTCTTAAGCGAGGTTAAATGTAGATGTCTATGGGCCACAGCATCCACATACCATCAGGTGAACTGTGTGCTCGTTTGTCACCTTTATCCTATAAAAAAGGAACCAATGGCTTCCCGAAGCACGGTTGGTGAAAAACCGCAAACTTCCTAACTCCATCCTGCTATTGGGAATTTCCCAGAAAACAAAAACTCAATAAACAATTTTGGCACGACTAGTCGTACTTACAAATACTAGATCACTGCATCTGGCATTGCGAAGAGATGTTGCATCTCTGCGTATTTTATCGCATCTACCACGGGGAGTGCTCTGAGGAATTGTTCGGACTAATTCCAGCCGCACAATTTCACCATCGCACATCGCGACAAAACTCACGATATCATCCATACCATCTGGATGACTGGGGCGGTCCACCACCGTGCGATTTAAAAGAAGTTTTCCTCCTCGCACAACTTCCTTGTGGAATCGACTACCGCCAGAGATTTTTCCGGACCGATACAAGAAAAGAGCCTACTCCTTTTTAAAATCTCTCTCTCTCTCTCTCTCTCTCTCTCTCTCTGCAATGCCCTGGTGTTGCAGTTGCTCATGGGCGGCGGTAGTCACTTACCATCAGGTGAGCCGTATGCCCGTTTGCCCCCTCTGCTATAAAAAAAAGATCAGTCAGGGCAGTCATTTACACTATTAAACTTTTCAGCTCGCTTCTGCTGAGGGCCAGAACAATGGCGGTATATGCGAAGTGTGCATTACGCAGCTACGCAACGCTGCCAATTTCAAGAAGCAAGTGCAGCATACCGAAGAACAATTCAAAAAAAGACTGGCGGAAGTAAATAGTTTTAAACGTAAGTATTGTTGACTTTGCTTATACTGCTTATCTAAATTATCTAAATTTGATTTTTTTCTTATACACCTCGCAACAATCCAATGTTGGACTTAAATCTCTCCCATTGTAGCAAGAATTTACCATAATATGACACATTGCAGACGGGGTAAGTCTCCCATTTACGCATCTGCTGAACGTCACCGGTCTTCGTGTATTACCACAAAATAAAGATGCCATCAAAAACATAGTTGTAAAATAAAAACAAGTCTCGCAACTCAGTTCTTCTACCGTAAAAAGTTGTGACATCCATGTAATACCAAGTCGGTTACTTTATTCAGTTCCTACTTAAGGGTCCTTTTGTTTTAAGTTATTACGTAATTAGCTAACCTAACAACATTTTATAGTGACCATATTGATGTTAATTTTTTTTTGCGCCCGAAGCAATTAAAGGGCTACCCTATACGTAGGGAGGCGGAAAATGCATTACGCATACCACGATAGCCGATCTATCGTGGTTATGAGGGACTCACTGTCCTACCGGGGACCCTAAGTGATACCCTCTAAAAACCGCCTTTGGGGACAGGCAACCGGCTGATTAAGCTGTATTGTGCCTTATCGTGAGCGACCCTCTTTTGGGAAAAGAGGGCGCAGGCGGCTACGAGCCGCTGAGGGAGTGCCTACGAAGGCAAATTAATATTAGTTAATATAATAATTTAATTTAATTAGAGTTGGCCTGAGCCGCCAGGAGGCAGTTCAGATCGTTAGTTAGTTTATTAGGCGGGTCCGAGAGAGAGTTTCTCGGCCTGCGGACTCGATAGCGAGAGGGGGGGGGGGCTGCATAAGTAGCTGCCTCACGAATTAAATGATTTGGGTGCGACTCTGAGGCTTTGAAGAAGTTCTCAGAGAGTTTTTGGAGAAATTGTTGAATTGTGGGGAGCTCTAGGTCCCGATGAAGGTCAGCATTACGGACGTACCAAGGTGCGTTCGCAACTCGACGACAGAAAAGGTTTTGAACTATTTGGAGTTCATTAATGATTTTAGGGTTGGCGTGGGCAAAAACTGTGCCCACGTATGACATGACTGGTCGTATACAGACCTTATAAAGGGTACGCTTGTTTCTAAGTCATGTTAAAAATGTTTTTTGTTTGAAATTTATAGATTGACGGAAATGTACTATGTTTATACAATGCCTACTCGGTTACTGAAAATTCAGGCTTCTAGTTTTATTGACTACGAAGTTATAGAGAGTCGAAGATGGCCTGAATTGCTTCGAGAAAAGTATGGTACGGCCGTGCCGCTTTTTTGATCGACTTGACGGGGGCACTGCCAGTACCCATGTACCCCTAGATAGTATCGATGTAGTATCGAATAAAAAGCAATGCACAAGGACAGACTCCGTTCACGCACGCAGAAGAACTGTCATCGCACGGTCAGACAATGAAAACCGCATTTTTTATTATTTGAGTTGCTATCAGGAAGATACTCCTGGCTATTTCCTATTTCATTTCCATCTGTCGCCTCTGATGACACTCACGAAATGATATAGGGTAGTGAATTCTCTTACTTCGCCACTACACGGCACAACAATTACTGTGTTCTGCTACAGTTGCAAAGGATCAGTAAGCTGAAGCGTTAATGGGTCGGTCATGTACTTGAAGAACCGACAACCGACAGGAAAAAAAGGTTCTTGAGTGGCAGTCTTGTACCGCTAAGCGAAGTATAGGGTAACCCCCCACAAGATGGAATGACGATCTGGTAAAAGATGCAGTAAGTCGTTGAATGCAGTTGACTCAGGACCATGCTGTGGCATTCTTTGCGGGAGGCCTACATTCGGGAGTGGACTTGTGAAGGGCTGTAATGATGATGACTACAATTACAACATGATACCTAGTAATCATTACGTTTTTTTGGACCATACGTTTTTACGTAAGTCTTAACTGACAATCGCGTATAAAAAGTAAAGTTTATGCATGATCTATACTTCTGTACTGTCTACATTTTGTGATATTACGTCTGACGTAAACATGAATGTTTTACCGACATCTAATGGTTGACACAAAACATCTTGCGACTGGCATTTCCCATAATCGCATCTTACAACACCATCGGGTTGAAGTTGTGTGATGGGTTCTTTTACGTCGTCACCATAGTAATACAAAACCTCTCAGGACACTAACGTAATATAAGAGCGCAGCAAGCTTGCCAAATTCTTTATTATGTGACGTAAACAATGCTGCCGTGTCTTCAGAGAACTGAAAACCTTTTTTACTTGAAATGAGACATTCCATCTTTACTTCTCAGGGGTGACAACACCTTGATTCCTAATTTAAGGATAAATGCACATGTCTATAGGCCACAGCATCCACTTATCATCAGATGGTTTATGTGCTCGTTTGTTACCCTATTCTATTTTAAACAAATCCTAAGAGATAGGTCAGCAGTGCCAAAGTATGGGTTTTGCGCTAAGCGACCCTAACATGGTAAGCATGGGCTATTTTTTCAAGAAATTAATTTGACGTATTTTTGAATAGATCATTAGAAGTATTCTTCGAAAAACCATCTGGCGTATTCTTGAATAGGCTTGTTAATGTATTACTGAATAAGCCACTTTACGTATTCTTGAATAGGCTGTATGGCGTATTATTGAATAGACCATTTGACGTATTCTTGAATAGTCAACCTGACGTATACTTTAATAGATCATTTGGCGTGCTGAATATTCAGCAATGGCTTCAAAAAGCCAGTAAAGAAAAAAAGAGCAATAAATAAAAATTAAAAATGCTACTCGGTTTTTTTTTCAGCTGAAGTAATAAAGGTGGAAATGTCAGCAGAGGATGGAGCCGAATTTGACAACAATTTATCTGAGGACTATCAATCAGGGCCAGGTAAGTGACTTCTTATAATTCATCTAAGCATTGTCTTCCGGTTTACCTCAGTTTCTGTTTGTTTAGTCATTCTCTTGACATTAATCTATGTTTGAGTATCTTCCGGCATATTAATAAATAATATTTTCCTGTAAGTTAGTGTGTGGTTACACCACACATTTTATTTAGTAAACGTTGCAACCTACTTTTAGCCGCGCGTCGCGTGTATTTAAATTTACTTATTTAATTGCAAACTGACAATCGGTAGTACGTCAACAACCGTCCTTCTAAACACCAACTATTCAAGGAAAGATCTGTCACTCTAACTTTATAACTATTTTACTTTTAATTAAACTTTTAACTTTGGTGATCTTTTCCTTTTCACGTGCTCATCAACTTACTACAACTCTAAAAGTTGCCTTACAAACCATATAGTTAGCTTAAGCTATATTCTACTATGACAATTTCGCATTTCTCAAAACGTTCGCAAAACGTTTGATGCTGCAATTGTGAATCCTTCCTACTTTGAGCGATGCCCATGCCTAGCGGACTATTACGAGATGATAGTAAAGAAGGCACTAAGGAAGATAACACTGGTGGCTGTCTTTATCGCATCGCTGTCCTTCTATTGTTTAGATTTTAGGCTTAGCAATTTGGAACACGATTTATGTATAGTCTAGTCTCGTGTTATTGTTTGTTTTTTATTTACCTTTAGAATTTATTTATAATGTATTAATATAAATAAAAAAAACTGATCAAAATTTTAATATAGTTGTAGCACGAATGGGTTGGCTCGACCGGGGCAGAACCACGCTTTCACAGAATACCAGCGTAAAATAGCAGCTCGATACTGCTGTGTTTCGTATGGTGAATGTAGAGTACCAGAGACCCTTTTTACTGGAAACGAGGCATTCTATCTCAGTCCTCAGGGGTGACAACGCAAGCTCGTCGTCCGTCCGTCTAATGACGACAGGCCGTGTCGACGGCGCGTTTTGTTCCACGCGCGCCTCAAAGAGCTGTCAGCAGCGTGAAGGGGCCCGCAAGGGCCGACGCCTGCCGGGGCTGCGGGCTGTTCGAAAGAGATACCGCGGCTCTGGTAACTTAAGGGCACTGAAGGAACACGGATGGTTTTTAGTCAGTAAAAGTCTGACACTCCCTTACGCTCCACCCAGAGCGAAAGGGGTCATTAGATGATTTTCCATCCGCAAAAAAAAAAAAAAGGGGTGACAACGCATCTGCATTTTGATTCTTAATCCAGGATAAATGTAGATGTCTATTGGCCACAGCCACAGCATCCACTTACCATTAGGTGGACTGTGCGCTCGTTTGTCACCCTTATTCTAAAAAAAAACAACTCGACTGAGCCCGCTCAGCCAAATGTTGATTGCGGACGCTTTTCGTAACGTTCGCAACGTCTATACTTTATTATTATTAATAATGTAAAAAATAAGAAAACATTGTGTACAAAATGGCGTTGTGCTTATGTGGGCGAGATAAATATTTTCTGTCTTTCTTTATTAAACTATGAAACTAATGCTTATGCCCTTTATCTTCACAGAGTTTGAAGTGCCAATAAAAGAAGAGAGTCCAGAGCCAAAGCCCAGGAAGAGGGCAGCAAAAGCCACTACGTCCAAAGCTAAGAAGGCGAAAACCGACTCCGGCGAGACGTCCACGAAACGTAAGTGGAGAGTTGGTTTATTAGTGACTTTGGCTGTGTCTTCACGTAGTTTGGGGTTGGATTTGGGAATTTCAGTATGATGCATTATTGAGTAGAACCAGTAAATTTCATTAATGGTAACTATTGACTAGAACCAGTAAATTTCATTAGTGGGAATTATTGACTAGAACCAGTAAATTTCATTAATGGTAACTATTGACTAGAACCAGTAAATTTCATTAGTGGGAATTATTGACTAGAACCAGTAAATTTCATTAATGGTAACTATTGACTAGAACCAGTAAATTTCATTAGTGGGAATTATTGACTAGAACCAGTAAATTTCATTAATGGTAACTATTGACTAGAACCAGTAAATTTCATTAGTGGGAATTATTGACTAGAACCAGTAAATTTCATTAATGGTAACTATTGACTAGAACCAGTAAATTTCATTAGTGGGAATTATTGACTAGAACCAGTAAATTTCATTAATGGGAATTATTGACTAGAACCAGTAAATTTCATTAGTGGAAATTATTGACTAGAACCAGTAAATTTCATTAATGGGGAATTATTGACTAGAACCAGTAAATTTCATTAGTGGGAATTATTGACCAGAAGCAGTAAATTTCCTTAGTGGGAATTATTGACTAGTACTAGTAAATTTCATTAGTGGGAGAGTCAGGAAGTTAGATTTTCAATATAGTACAAATGCAAATGAAAATATATTTCTCAGAATTACATCAGAAGGTAATATGTCCCTGTCACAATTACACAGTAGTGTAACATAAGGGATGTAATTACATGATAACACCTAAGTATGCGAAATAACAGTAACACTACACATCTCATTGTAGCTCAGGGCAGCCTCTCAGCGACACCGTTTTCCTTGTCTGCACTAAAAGAATACTACACTCGTAGAAAGACTTAAGCCGGAATCTCCTGCGCACAGCGCCTACAGTAAACTTTATACTGCACAAACGAGTGGATTCCCGATCTACCCTCAATTATACCTCACCACCATCGTTATTAGCATAAGCATAAACATAAACACTCACGCCTGTCACCCAGAGGGGTAGGCAGAGACCACGGACTTCCATTTGACACGATCCTGACATACCTCTTTCGCCTCCTTTACATCCATATATCTACGCATACATGCTCGTCGGTTAAGGGTACTTTTAACGTGGCCCATTTTCAAAATATCGCCAATTTGGTCGATAAACTTTTTTCTAGGGCGTCCCTTCCCGACTCTGCCGTTCACATCTGCCATTTAAATTTGCTTTGTCACTCTTTCCTCATTCATTCTTTCTACATGACCAAACCACCGAAGCATTCCTTTCTTAATCCTGGTCACAACATCATCTTGCATACCACATTTATCTCTTATCACGCAATTTCTCACCCTGTCATTCAGATTCAACCCTAGCATACTCCTTAAAGACCGCATTTCTAAAGCTTTTATTCTACTTTCGTGCTTCTTCTGCCACACCCAGCTTTCACTACATACATTAAATAGCACCAGCATTGTGAATTACCATACGTGCCTTTTTTGATACATTCTGGTTCTTCACAATAGAGTGTAGTGCCCCATTCACTCTATTTCCTGCATTTACTCGTCGTTCTATATCCTTATCATATCTACCATCCCTGCTAAGTAAAATAATACGACCTCTCGTTCACTCTCGACCCATCCGCTATTTTGTACACGCGCCGTAATATATGTTAATGTAAATGTAAGTTATATTCTATGTGAAACATACGTAGAATATTTATGGACAAACTCTTAATATATTTACATGTTTGGGCGGATATTTGCAGTTCGAAAGTTGAACAATCGGTATGCGTTATAAATGTTAATCTAGTGGAGTTAGCCAAGATGTCTTTCTATATTGTTAACACTAGAAAACTATAAAAAAATTATAGAAATGACATATCCGAATATTAAAGTCATGTAACTTAGCGTTGGTTTATTTTTTACAGTTTACTATTGCGTTAACTATTGTAGAATGTCATCTTGGTTAACCCCGCTGATGCTCCGAATTGCATGCATATTCGTTAATTTTCTTTAAAATCAAAATTTGGTTGCTTTGTGGTACATTGCGTTGTATGCTTTAAAATATTTCTCTCTTATAGAAAAAATCTCTTACAGAAAAGCTATATAGCATACAACGCAATGTACTACAAAGTGATTATTGGATATGAATAATGTTAGCTAATATGAGGTTTGCTTGTCTATAAGGTTAGGGAAATAGTTTCTTCGTATTTTGTATACAAATTCAAGACATTTTTTAAAAATTTTAATTACATTTAATTATAATACATATATGTGTTATTTCGTTCGATAACTTGTTGCCATTTTGTAGATAGTGACATAATCCCATTGCTTGGACTTGAGTTGAGACTTGTCTTGAGTTTTGACAGTCCTCACTTGATATACCTTGAACCTAACACTACCCAAACCCCCCTAAGCGTGCGCGTGCGTGTGCGTGTGCGTGCGTGTGCGTGTGCGTGTGCGTGCGCGGGTGTGCGTGTGCGTGCGCGTGCGTGTGCGTGCGTGTCTTGTGCGTGCGTGTGCGTGTGCGTGTGTGCGTGTGTGTGAGTGTGTGCGTGTGCGTGTGCGTGTGTGTGTGTGCGTGCGTGCGCGTGCGTGCCGCGTGTGTGTGTGCGTGCGTGCGCGTGTGGCGCGTGTGCGGTGTGTGTGCGCGCGCGTGTGTGTGTGTGTGCGTGTGCGTGTGTGTGAGTGTGTGTGCGTGTGAACGCGCGGCGTGTGTGTGCGTGCGTGTGCGTGCGTATGCGTGCGTGTGCGTGCGTGTGCGTGCGTGTGCGTGCGTGTGTGTGCGTGCGTGTGGAGTGCGTGTGCGTGCGTGTTAGTGCGTGTGTGCTGCGTGGGTGCGTGCGTGTGTGTGCGTGTGTGCGCGAGTGTGTGCGTGTGTGCGTGCGTGCGTGTGTGTGTGTGTGTGTGCGTGTGCGTAGTGCGTGCGCGCGCGTTTCTCTTTATACTTTACATCATGTGTTCTGTATTTTTGTAATTTAATTTATTTATGAAGTCCTCTATATGTTTCTTTAAATTATAGGTATTAAAATTTTCGTAAATGATGAATATTACCTAATTTGTTATACACCCGTGAAGTCAACGCGGAATATTGGCGCTTGGCAAACTCCGTACGAGTCCGTACCATGGGACATGTCTTCTCTCCTTCGCTGAGACGTTGGCAAAGACGGCACAACTTCCCTATGGTACCTGAGAACTATAGATTTGTAGTATAATTGTCTCACAGTGAGAACCCTCCAGTGTTAATACAAAGCGTGTGAGGGATATTTAAAAGGGAGAAGACTAGCACTAGCACTTTTAGAATGGCTCTTTGAGCTCATTCCAGTCCCAGCATATGGATCTTCGCTGCACCTCCCCACACTGCAATACAATACGTTATGACAGATTGGCAAAGAGCCTTGTACACATATAGGAGGAGGTCGCTATCTGCAATTTCTCTTAGGTTCTTAAAAATATAAATGAGCTTTCTTACTCTACTCGTGACATTTGAAATTTGACGGTTCCAAGTTAGCTTCTCGTCAATTGTCACTCCTAGATATCGCACGTGTTTAACCATTTCTAGCTCTTTACAACCACATTGTCTGCCAGGAAGTAAGAGTATTATATTGCATGGGAAAGTGTGCATCTCGACTTTAAAGCTGCTGCAGGGTTTAGTAGCCTCTGTTATCCTGAAACATAGATATTTCGTCTTTCCTATGTTTAGCGATAGCAAACTATTTTCCAGAGCCTTCAAAACTTCACAGTCACTACACAGTCCTCTCTCTTGTAAGTTTTTGCACACCATCCCAAGTCTGATGATGAAATAGCAGGACGGTGTCATCTGCGTACATTAATAAATCAGCTCCTTCCATTTCTATGTTGCAGAGATCTTTAACGTAGAGCAGGAAAAGAGTTGGTCCAAGAGTGCTTCCTTGTGGGACTCCGTAATCACAGTTTGTTTCGTCACTAATCTGTGTGCCAACTTTAATCTGCTGGCTTCGATTATTTAAGTAGTCTTTAAACCAGTCGTAAGGGATCCCACGTATACCCATTCGCTCCATTCGTTTCAGAAGTTTCCTGGTGACACAATATCAAAAGCCTTTCGTAAGTCTAAAAAGATCCCAACACAGTGATAATTATTATCTAAATAGTTTGTCACTAGTGTAGTAAGTCTTAAAACAGCATCTTCTGTAGATTTATTCTTTCTAAAGCCATACTGATTAGACGAGATGAGGTTTTTTGGTAAAGAAATTTCGTAAGTCTAATAATAACTATTTTTTCCAGAATTTTAGAAAGTGTGCTTAAAAGTGTAATTGGTCTATAATTGCTTGCTAATTGTTTTTCTCCGCTTTTGAATATTGGGGTTAAGTATTAATGTACTATATGTAATTGATATTAAAACCAGTCAGATATATACAGTACAACCAAAGATATTTTTCTTAGATTTTATAGAAACAAAATACGAAGAAACTGTTTTCCGACCTATTATAGAGTATAGGATATACTAAAGACCGAAGATCATAGAAGTGTTATGATGGTCTTGCTTCCGATTATCTTCAATTCATATTATATTTGTTTATTTATTTATGCTTTGTTATCTTAACCTATAACAAAAGTTTTACGAAGGGCGGATTAAATGCATAAAGGCTTTCCTACCTACATCACCTTTACGACGTTTTATGGTGCCATAAGCACAAGCGAACACTTTGAACCTTACCCAAAGTGATGTATGTAGAGTATGTATGAACATATTGTTTTCTATAACGTCTTTTTTGACATGGTGAAGTCATGCTGTGCGTAATTATTCCTGTAACACGAATAGGTCGGATATACTAGAGAAGGATCACGCTCGCTCAGAATACCAGCACAAACCGGTACCGTTACAGCCTATTAAAGTCCACTGCTGAACATAAGCCTCCACCATAGATTACCTTATAGGGGATGTCCTCTTTGATTTGTCATAGTTGCCACGCTTGGCAAGCGG